ACTCACCTGGTTAACTGGACTGTGGGCCCAATTCCTTAATGAGATTTGTTAGAAAACAGCAGAATCACAATTCACAAATTGTTTTTAAAACATACATTAATAAAAGTATCATTCTGTTAGTACCACCTCTAGGCACTATGCTATGTTTACATGTTGTGTTGAAAAGTTCCATTGCTCTTTATTTTGCTTAAGGATGGACTGAAAAAGCAAAGATCTCACTAGAAGAATAGCACAGAAATGATCTTATGAGTCAAAACTTTAGGTTCACTTATACTTAGTAAAATAGCAAAGCAACTTTAACAATTTAGAAATGCCAATTTAAGACAACTCTGATAATAAAATAACAAAGCAAACATATCTTCTTTGCCTATAAAGACAAACTAAAGATGATGATCTTTGTTGGTTCTTTTTTGCTCCAGCATCTCATTATAGTAACATAAAAAAAATAAATAAATCTTACAATGCTTTGCAAATAGAATTCAGGTTCACTTAATTACTGTGTACTGTCACTTGTGAATGTAAATTAAAAAGATATATTTTTCTTCCACAGAAGCTGCAAAACTTCAAATACTCCATAAGAATCTTTCAAATTTAAAACAGAAAACATTTCACAAAAGGAGCAGAATATTGAGTGTATAATCATAACTGTGACTACAGTGATTTAGATTCCAGAATTTCAAACAAGAAACCTGTCAATGCCCCCACCACATTCCTTTTCAGTGCAAATCTGCAACATTTCTGTAAAGCTCTGTCATTCCCCAACACCAGGTTTTGCCATTTCTTCTAGCAGCAGCGGCATTAGAAATCATAGTAATGTAACAAGACAGGCTAATTTTGCCACCATTCTATGGCATATGCAATGCCAGTAATCAAAAGCAGGAGTTGTCACTTTGGGTATAAGAATGGGCAGCAGAAAGCATCCATCAGTGCCACCAAGCTGCATTCAATCAGTGAAGGGCCACTGAAGAAATAAGCACCTCTCCATCAGCTCCAAGGAGCTGCAAATGCTGCTCAGCAGTATTAAATGGTTTTCATGCATAAAGTACAGAATGTGCAAGCCAAGGTTGTGCAACACCATCTGAACATTTTTTCTGTATGCTTCCCACCTTTGAGTAGTCTTTGTTATTCACATTAGTTAAACCCCAAGGTGCTCCAGGCTCCCTCTCTACACAGCCTTCATTCTTTGACTGGCTCTGTTAACTCCAATTGCTCAGTGACTCAAATTGACACACATTGAGGGGAAAACCCTGGCTCACTGCTCCTTTATGTGTTGCTGTATTCACACATCTGCTCACTGCGTGCCCGTCAGGATATCTCCACAAGAATCCTGAGCCAAGAAATTGTGAAAAGTTTCTCAGAGATTCTTATGTGCAATAAACCAAAAAACCAAAACCAAACAAAACCAAGGAGGCCTCAACACTTAATGCTGTCGGTTAGCACAGGGAAAAAATACTCAAGATGGCGAAACAAAGACGTGCAGGTGTCTGCAGGAGCACCACCAAATATTGATTCACTTACAAAGGGACACGTGCCAACTCCTGTAAGCAAAGACCTTTTTGTGTATCTGCTTAAAGAAATAGCTTTCTACAGACACATGGGATTTTCTTCTGTTTTGAAGCTGCGTTGCTCTTCATTTCCCCCTGAGCCTCATTGCCTGCCTCAGCCGGCCGCCTTCACCTCAGCGAATTCTCCAGGGGGCGCCAACGGAAGGTCCCCACCTGCAGGGACGCCGACCTAAACAAACGTTCGTGCTCGCTCCCAGCCGTGGAGAGGTGCCCTTGGGCTGGAGGCAGGGGTCATCCCCACCTGCCAGGCTCACTCCCCGCTCCCACAAGGCCGAGGCCTCCCTCTGCTCTCCTCCCTCGACCGAGGAGGGCGAAGCTGTCAGCGCGCCTCCCGTCAGCCCCGCACAAAATGGCGGCGGCGGTGAGGGAGAAGCGGTGAGGGAGAAGCGGTGATGGAGCGCGCTCGCTTCCCCTCAGCCCGCTGCGGTCAGAGCTCCATGCACGCGCTCCGCGCTGCGGGAGCCAGATTTAGGGCTTGGCCAAACACGGACTTACCTGAAATTACTCTGTTGTCGGGAAGCCCTTGCTAGTTTTTACCCTGACACAAATCAGCATAGGAGGCTGATATCGTGTGACTGCATTATGAAAAGGGTTCCTAGAGGAGGGAGAAATGAATACAAAATACTGCTCCTTAAAATATTTTCTAGTGGATTTCCGAAAAATTGTGTAGATATATTCTTGCTGCTGCATTAGAGCAGCAAAGGTGCCTCAGACAAATTACATGCACTGAACCAGCACCACGTGAAGGATTTGTGAAATGCAGAAGTGGGTTGCTATTATTCTCCCCCAGAAATGCTGGAGCTTGCAGTTCAGGACTTGCCGTTAGAGCACAGCTTCCGAACAAGTAAAGTTAAAATAAATTGCAGAACTGTCTCAGAAAAACTCAATTTTGAGCTGGTTCAAAGCTTCGTGCCATTCAACAAATATTATAGAGGCAGCAACTGTAAATATGTATTTCCTCATACATAAATAGATGAAAAGGAGACATAACATTCTCTCAAATATTGATTGATTTTAACATAAATAATTTTTATTTAAGCAACTTTTTTGTTTCACTTTCTTGAAAATATTAATTTTTAACTTTCGATTTCATATTTGTAGACATCATTTACATATGTATATTCTCTAGTGCTGTGGAAGTGCCTGGTCAATTGAAAGTGTGCAGGAAAGTCTATATTCATTTTTACAATTCTTTGTATAGGAATTTTTTTTCCCCCCTTTATTATTACTTCTGATTGCCGATTATTTGACTCACATCAAAACTCTTTAATATTACAGTATTCCAAAACTGGCACCACGTGTAGATGCTTTCATCCACCTCTCATCTAATGACTGGGCAAAGAGCCAAGGGCAAGAAACACTCCGTTCTTACTTCCAACATGACAGGATTTTGGCCAGCACAGAGAAACAAAAGATTTTATGATAAACAGCTTAGAATGCAAACAAGATTGCTGATGAACACATTGTCCGAAATTAAATTCTGAAACCACCAGAATTATTCACTAGTTTATATAACAATGGGAACGTTTTTGAGGACTACTCATTGTATTCTTGCAATAAATTCTGAAACCAGAAAACATTTTTACTTCTTACTATTAGAGAATGCCTGCTTCAATTCTGGCCTCAGGCAAGTTTCCATCTTAGTTCACAACATCTGCTTTTAGCTGACCAGACTTTAAAAGTTTAAAGCGATAATACAAACAGTTCATTTTTAAAGCTATTTTTTCTTCGATTCCCTTCCCTAGGTGACATCTCCCTCAACACACATACACAAATCACATAAAATATATAGCAAAGCAGTCTCTCAACAGCTCTGAGACAGTTTAATTTTTGATTTCCCTCAAGCCTAACATCTGATCTGCCATATGCTTTGAGTCTTTCCAGCTCATAGAGATACATACTAAGCCATAAACCTCCATATTCTGGAGAATGCAACTAAAAAAAAATCACGAACACCAGACATTGGTCAGTGATCCATATGATAACAGAGTAATCCTCACACTAAACGCAAATTTGTTAGAAGCATCAGTTTTCTCCAGAACTCCAGAACAAAGTGAACAGATCAATTAAGAACAAATTAAAAGCAGAAAAACAACGAGACCCAAGAAGAATGACAGTTGCCAGTATCCTATCTTAGTTTCCTTTGTCCAGCTTTATCCACAATTTGAAAGACGTGACAGCATAAACACTGGTCTCTAAAAAGTGCCTCACCTCATAACAAATCACTGTGAAATATCAGAAGGTCATAAAATCACATACAAACCTTATGATTTTGTACCATGTGCTTGAGATTGTGGCAATGACTCATTTATTAAGGAAATCATAGTAAAACTTAAGAATTTAAAAAATATCTGCAGTTGTAACATTCTTTTCAGTCAAAACCAGGCAATAAAAATATAGCACAAACTAGGTTGCCTAGTTGAGGAAAAGCAGGGGTGAATTTCTTCTGTTTTGTCCTGCTGACTAGCACTTACTTGGCCCTGTTGTTGCACCCCTGCAGAAACTTAAACATGTAAGTAACTTGACTCATGGAAACTAAAGTTACTCATGTGCATAAGCGTTTGCAAGACTGGGTCTTAAGAGAGCTAAACGCAGCTTCCCCTGGAAGCTGGCAGTGCTGCCCTGCATGTCAGCCAGAGGGGATCTCCCAGACTGATACACGGCGCTGCTCCCCTGGGTCCCACTGAGCAGGCTGTTAGTGCCTTGCCCCTAACATATGCTTTCCCAGGAAGTGTAGGTCTTGAACTTTGATTTTTATGCGGCTAAATATATTTAGCATATGGTTTTTCACAATGAGTTGGGTGAAATATTTTTTATTCCTGTACTTCTTTACCTTCGTTCCCTGTTTTCACTTTCTCATCCATACATTTTTTCAGACATTAACTTCTCCTACAAAACCTGTCAAGCAGACTAGCCACCAAGGACCGTTTTTATTATGTATAGTATTTGTATCTTACTTCTAATTAACAAAAGAACCACATTCCATATTTAGAACTCCACCCTGAACAAATCTCATCATGTACAAATGTCATTTTATATCACTCAGTGTTTAGAGAGTAGCAATTTTGCACATAGAAGAGATAATATTGAGAATAGATCTTATTGTTCACAAAGCTGATACTCTGCAGTTTTTGTATGTTTAATCTGTTGGCTCAGTTGATAACATGAGGTACAGACAGAGGAAATAAAATGAGATCAGTGCTGTGGGAGCGTGTTTCATCAGTGTGCACTCCCTAGGAGGCAAGTCAGTGCTGCTCCCCTTAACATATGTGGAATCTCCCATTGATAAAGTCCAGGTGGATTCAGATTTTTAATAAATAGCAAATAAAGCTGAAAGTTGTATCTGCAACTGTTTTGGAAAACAACTGCTATTTTCATCTTGTCATTTCCAACAATCTGCTGTTTGTTTTTTGTTTTTTTTAAATGTGAGGACAGAGACTACAAAAATTTGTTGTAGTCAGAGCTTAATAGAAGCAAAAATTATAAAACATCCTCAATTTATTAGCTTTTTGTTCTAAATTGTTGTGGATCAATGATATATTGATCCATGTAACATCTGGATGCTGAATTCTCTGATGGTTTGTTCACTGTCACAAAATCCTGTCAGCATTTCTTGTTTTGCACTGGAGACTATGGTATTCCATTGGGAAGAATGATTCAGAAGATCCTGAAAAGTAATACATCCGTATGTTTCTTCTTTTTCTCTAATGTATTATAAAATGTACAGATTCTCCTTCTGGAATAATTTTATCATTTGTAAAAAATAGAAGCACTTTTAACAAAAATAACATCATGAATACTCTTAAGTTCTACAGTAAGATCCCTGTTCCTGCACAAAACTTAAGTCATATTTGATTTTTGCAGTGTGAACCTATTCATAATTTTATCAAACTGGTTCCCTGTGAAATAGCCTATTTTGCTCATGTTTTGAAGTAGTGTGAACTGTTTATGGATTTTCAGCTTCAATAATGAAAACAAAAAGAGCAATCTTCAAAGATCAATCCAAATCACCAAGGAAAGGAGAATTTTGAAAATTATGTCCAGTCTTCCAAGTCTTTAGTTCTACACATATTCCCAAACACCACCTGCAGAACAGTTAACTGTGAGTTCAGATTATAACCAAAAGCTTGCTAACTTGCAGCTGCTAATTAAACTGGCAAAAAGACTCAACCCAAGAACTATGGAAAGAAGTCACCCACGAAGTCAGTCAGGATATGCAGGAAAATAAGGGAAATAAGATCTTACCTTGGAAAACTTGCTCATACAAACATTTTAACATCACTGAGACATTTGTCAATGTTAAAGGAACAGTTTTGAAAATATGAGTCTAATAAAAAAATGAATACATATTTTGTTTTTCACATGGCATTTTTATTTATCACATGAGTTTCTGTTTAATGAGATTTTTTAAAAAAAATTTGACATATAATGGCATCTGGAATAGACCAGAGGTAAGGAGACCTCCATCCTTGGTGTGACATTCTGGCCACTTAGTCATCTGTATGTCTGATTCCTTCTCTTGAAAAAAAATTACGTTTGTGATTCTGTGTCCATTCCATTTTCTCTAGGGAAAAAAAACAAAACAAAACCAAAAAGACTGCAAGTAGGTACTGACCTCTTCAAGATATTCATCCACACTCCATTGCCTTCTGAAAATAAACACAAATACAAAGATTTCTAGAGAAGCTGTTTCTACTCTCTCCCTTCCTTCCTTGATCCCATTCCCTTACTAAGCTCAATTTGATTAAGTTCCTGAAACACACAGACTGTGTTTAAAGAATCAACGTGATGCGTGTGTAAGGTGAAATGCATTCAGCCTGTATGATTAACAGCTTGACGTAGTCAGGTCAAAGACACATGTGTATTCAAGATAATTCTGATAGTTCTTACCATCTTTCCTGAGGTGACAGTCTGCTTACTCAGTTATTTCTAATAATCTTCTGTGCTGTAGCTGTGCAGTGCATTTTAAGTTAGACAGCAACAATGTGCCAATTAAGTTTCTGCAGAGTATGTCATCAGAACGCACTACAGATCCTTAGCTTTTTCAAACTAGGTCCGTGTATACAGATTTTGTTTGATCTCTGTTCCATGTCAGCCTGATTTTGAAACAAACTGTAACTAGAAGATAGTTCTTTATGATATGTTAGTTATCAAGAATGTAATCTATACTGATAGAGTGAGAAAGAGTTCATGCATGAACTGTCACGACGTGGGCCTTTGAAAGGTGCAAGGAAGCCATACTGCTGTAAATGCAACAAGAGGCTGACATTCTAGTGCACACAAGAATGGTGTAAGTATCTAATATTAAAGCATCTATTATATCATAGCTATTGGTCTCACTGACTTTCTTCTACATATCTATTGCACGAGTCTTGAAATCATTTGAACAGGATATTTTTCCCAGTTTAACCAAATGTGTATCTCAGTGATGTATATTTGGTTAGAAAATCTTCTTGAAATAAGTGTAGTTCAAAATTTGAAAATAGTGTCTTACATTCATATGCAGTTCAGGTAATTCAGCTTTAAGCTATGGCACTTGAGGCAATTTCACCTGTTTTGACACATTATCTTCTGAAAAAAAATAAGGTTGTATGAGAAGCAGCAGAATTAAAAGCCTGAATACACTCACATTTAAGAAACTGTCCATCACCAGATGTGTTTATTCCAAGCAAAGTGCAGACTCCATATTGCAGGACGTCAGAAACAGGTACTGCATCAAACTGAACATGTTCTGGGAAAGTTCCAACTGAAAAGTAAAGGCAGTGACTGAAGCTTAGGGATTTCTCACCATCACAGAAACCTTTGAGTTCAAATTCCCTCTGTACTTTGGCACAAAATGTTGAAGATGGTTTACATGCACTCAGCTTAGCCTCAAAGTAACACAACAGCTTTGGTGACAGTGGAGAGTCAGAGATAGCAACATGTTGCAGAGGAGGAGAACTTCTGTCAAACTGCATTTATTGATAAGAATGGAAGAGGCAGCAAAGAACACTGTTGAAAAATGCAGTATGCCGACACACTACCAAAAGAAACAGAGCTAGAAATGAAACACTTTTATAACAAGCTGACTACTGACAACGATACAGAAAGTAGGTGACAGCATTTCAAAGTCAAGACATTCTACATACTTGTTGATGTGTTTACAACATAGATGAAAGAGCAGTTTCAAGATTTCACAGAGAAATGCAGGCTGACACATTGACACTGATAAAGTTTTTAAAACATCTTCTTATATAAAACCATGAAGAAAACTTTGCAATTTGCATATTTAGTCCAGATAGTCACTAATCAGTCCTGACACTTCTTAATTCAAGCTATATAAATTTACCATTGTTATTATTATTTTTTTTAAGATACAAAGAAGGGGACATGTTTAAATAAAGATGAAATGGTCAGTGGATTGAAGACTGTAATTATGGAAGAACAGAGGATGTCATAACACTCCACACTGACAGCTTTGTCAGCCTTCTTCTGAAGGCGTTTTATATATTTTCTATTGGAATAGTCTATTGAAAATTGAAAGCCTTAGCTTTCGATTCTGGGGAGGATTTGGGAACTTAAAGAAACAAACAAGTTCCTACAAAGCGTAGTTGTCTTCTCCATTCCCATTTTTCCAGACAACATTGTTACCATAGCACTCACTGAAGAATTCTTCCTTTTGTGTAAAGCAATTTAAGCACACATCTCTCACTTCAAGTGAGAATTCTTAAGCGCTCAGTTACTAGGTTTTGTGGTCCGGGTTTGCTTCATCTCTCTGTGGTAAAACTGCCCCAAATGGTATGGAATAATTAAACCTTATGTAGGAAGAGTGTGTATGTGGAAGCATGAGGAAAGTCACCTGAGGATTGGGAGGCTCCTCCAGCCAAACCACAGCATTCCCCTAGGCTATGAGAGAATACAGTCTTGTGCTCACTTGTCCAAATATTTAATTCATGCAAAAGAGCCCAACCAGATACCCACTGTAATTAAGCAAAGTAGGTCTAGTGACATTTGGTTCACGTTTGCCAGAAGAAACAAAGGGTCAAATCAATATTTAAGAGTGGAAAATTTGATCACATTCTAATAACTCTAAATTTCAGGAGCAGATTCTATGTAACTTTAAAAACTGTTTAAAGTATGATGAAAGAAATGGAAAATTAAGAACTACCTTAACAAAATGCTTTTGGAACTCATACTAACTTACAAAAATTAGTAAGATCAAGTGAACTGCTGTTGTAGCACTGCCAACATTTATATAAAAAGAAAATCTATCATCTGTCAGTGTCACCTTGTTTTATCTTGTTTTTCTCTTGGCTTTTGCAGAGCCAGAGTTGTAAGACCAAGGAGGCCATGTTAATCTCCAACAAGAGCTCCTGTGTGTAAAAACTCAGAAAATTTCATCAAGTCACCACCTTTTAAAAACAACTTTTCCTTTACTCTCCACTCTTTCTTGTTTTCTCCAAAGCGTGACCTTTGGACTGTATTCATGGTCTGTACATTGACTTTGGAAGTGGGGGGATTTGAGACAGAAATATCTCCTCAGGCAGTAGAAGTGGCAACAGCAGGAGTACCAGGGAGAACAAAGCATTAGGATAAATCTCCTCTAAAAAAATAAAATAAAAATAAATACAACACAGCGTTAAGCTGTTCCTCCCAGCTACTACATACCACAGGGAAGAATCTTAATCACCAGCACATAAGGCATACAAATAGATCTTCAGGAACTTAAGACTGAACTTACATAAACCTACATTAGCCATTAGAAATAATAGTCATTAAAAAAAATTGAGTGTGAGAGAGAATTGCACTAAAGTGTTAAGGCATAAGGCTGGCGCTGATAAAATTTTAAAGCACTTATTTATGGTGTTGCCTATCAGCAAACTGCATCTGACAGCTCTGCTGCTCTCGTCTAGCTACTGCTTTCAGGAATGCCATAGGAAGGTAAAGAGAGACAAGGCAATTATTGTGATGGAGGCAAGATCTATCAGTAATAATGTAACAGTAACAACTGTGCAATAAAACAGTGGACATCAGATCAGTGAAAAAGATTTACTCAATAGAAGAAAGGGAAAAAAGGAAGACCAGAGGGAAGGGCTCTGAGAGTGGCTGAGAGACTCCTGGAGCAGGCATCCAGACAAAGAGGACAGGTAAGAGCTAGTGAAATACCAAGGTCAGCAAAACCATGACTCACATTAAAACAGAGGAACGGAGGAATAAAAAGCATTTTTCCACTTAAAGTTGGTCAGAAAAGAGAGTTCTCCTCTTGGTGAAACTCAGATACCTCAGACTGTTTTGCTTTTAAAATACTTCAGTTGTTTCATGACTTCCCATCAAAACCTTGGGCAAAGAAGCTGAACATTCTGATTATGGTGAAATTTCAACAGATCGTGGCTTTGCTTCAGAAGCATTTCAGTGGTTTCTAATTCACTCATGAGAACCTTGTAGAAAAAAAAAAAGTATTCAAATGAGACTTTGAAGGTGCAGAATTCTTTTCTTGATTTCAGTTATATTTTTGCAACATCTACAATTTTCTTAGTTTCAGTCTCATAGTGGAAATCCTGGCAGTTATATATTACATATTTATACATTCCGGTCTTAAAAACAAGTCATCTTTTTACCACAATGATTTCCACAGCTAGAGAGTATGTAGCATCTATTCCTGAAGCCACAGGTAGTTGAAATTTGCATGAAATGGTATTTTTATATCATATTTTGATATTATAGAAAAAACTGTTGGCCATGTGTTTGAAAAGGATTAAAAAAGCATTATCCCCCTATTAAACTGGGGAGTGGGGCTTGCTACATACCAAATTTCTGTTGTGTGTTCATGACATTTCAAATGAGTGCTGTTTTAAACATCAAAACCCACATGAAATATCTATAGAAATATTGGAGAATAGAGAAAAAAAACTGATACTAAACACCAAAGGAGGTACTGCATTTCATTACTATGATCGTCGCATTAAAGCAAGATTTTAGGTTAATAATCTAGCAGTTCTTAGAAAAAAACAATATTTCTATCACACACAGCCAATTTCTCTGGCTTAAAATGAACTCCTTTCAAAGAAGTTAACAGTTAATATTGCTAAGGGATTTTTACCCTCTTGCAAAGCTGTCTAGTTCTAAAACACTGGCTGGAAATAGGACTTCAAGGCAGTAGAGGGAAGCATAAGCTGAGTTCAGGAGCTTTCTGTGATTCTGCATCCATTGAATCATTAGTACTTCTGAAACTCGAGAAAACTGGGTATTGTATAAAATAGCTGCAGGGAGCAGCTTCAGAACATTAAAATACAGTCCACAGGCAATCTTCTAAAAGAACTCCTCTTTCCATAGTTCTGTCCTCCTTTTAAATATTTTAAGCTAGATGCCTTAAGTGATATATGTATTACTTTCCTTTCAGTATGAAATCCCTATCTTTGATGGGCTGCTTTGGTCTCAGGGCCCCAGTGCTGCTGTCTGCTGGGGGCTCCACAAGCGCTTCTCAGCCTGCTGGGATTCAGCACACCTCAGCCAGGCCTGCTGGAGTGGCGTACGGCACAGCTTTCTTTGTATGTATTTCTTTGTTCCTCTGTGTAGGGCTATGAAACAGTTTTCTTAGGAGCTGCAACTCTTTGTTCTTGCATGGGTAGCTCTTCAGAACTGGAAGCGCAGTAGACAAATGGAAAACAACAAGTATACTGTTGTTACTTTTCATTAATCAGTGAACAGAGGGTTTAACGCTACTTCTGTTATGGTGAGCATACGAGCAGTAAATACAACGTTGCCTATAACACTAAAGTAATATGAAATAAACGTGTAAGGAGGGGAGCAGAAGCCTGGAGTTTTGGGGAAAGAAGAGGAGTTGACAGGTTTTAAAGGTTGGTTTTTATTTTTAAAATTCCAGAGGTTAGAGGCAAAGTTCCCTGGGGGTTAGAACTTTAAAAATAATGTAAGTGCTGGAAGTATAAAAGATGTAATAAGGAAAGGTTTCAAGCCAAGTCTGTTTTTCTGCTTATTCGTTCTGGGAGCGGATTTTCCTCTTTGGTCCTTTTCGCACTACTGATGCCAAAATATGGAAAACAGGAATACTGACAATGTAAAAAAAAGCAAAACAAAATAAAACCCAACACCTAAATATTTTAAAATGAGGATCAATAGGTGGAATGTACCTAGAATTCATAGATTTTAAAAATGCATAAAACAGTACACTAGTCAAGCAAGAGTCTTGTTTTCCCCAAATGACCTTTAACTTAAACGATTTAATTACGCTGAAGCAGAACACAGACTTGAAACAGAGAAATGTTCGCTCATGGAAGGTGCACAGAAGAAATCTGCAGTATCTAAAGGATCACAGAAGTAACAACAGTGGAAAAGTGAAATTACAATTGCCCAGAAACAGTTTAAGACAATGAAAACTTAGCTTTGTGCACTGATTAAAGAAAAAAAAACAAGGGGAAGCAAGCTTGCATGCATGTTGTTAGACCATATTGAAAGTGACATTGTGCTAAAAGGATTCAGCCAAAGAAGTTGCACCAGTGTAAGGCAGGGCAGAATTGGGTTCTATCACATATATTATACACGCGCTGCTTGTTCTCTTCTTCTGTTCTGTTTTATTCTGACCTAATAGTTGCCCCCCCTTGTCTGCAATGCGGACTTCATCCTTGATCCCTGATAGCTCCTTTTCCTGTGTATTACTACTTTCATTGCTTTGTCCATCTGTTTTTCCTACCAGTTTCATCCTCATTGTAATCTCCCATTAAGAAATCTATTGAAGCTATCATGAGATCTATTTGCATTCCTAATGTGAGATGTTTGTATTTTGACTTCATTGTTTCCCATTATAAGCACACAGTAGACACTTTGAAATAAATCAATTGAAGACAGATTTTAAGGTAAAAATAGACTTGTTTGTTTGTTTTTGTTTTTAAATCCTCAGCTATCCCCACAGGCTCTTCATTGATTTCAGGATCTATTCAAAGTTTCTTTCCTTTCCTCCATGGATTTTCTCCAGACTCCCCTTTTATCTAAAGGGTTTGACTTTCCATTCCACCTTTCCTTAGGAAGAAATTTTCATCAGAGTTCTGTGGGCACCAAACACTCTCAAGTAAGGCTGTGTCACACACACAGTATGTACTGCTTTGCATTGCATGTATACAAATAAGGTTAGCAGGGAATAAGTTCCCACTGGCCAGTACCATGCAAAAGTGCCCTGGGATAAACAAACCACTCACAACACAGAGTATCCTTAACTGTGACTGAGGGGTATATTTTTGGTAAAAGCAAAAGGAAATTGGGTTTTCAAAGCCAAGAGGAACTGTTTAGGACACAAAGCCTGTGGCTACAAGAAGATTGAATGTAGTAGGTTTGTGATGGAATAACCTCTCAGCCTTTCTTCTGGCATGAAAGACAGTGTTCATAAGGAAGTGGAGCATTGCAGTTGCCTTATTTCTTTGCTTTACTCATAAGACAGCTTGCTAAGTCGTGGGTTTCCACAACAGCCTCAAGATTCTTGTAACTAGGACAAACATGAAGCCTTCACAGTTTTCCTCAGCAACTACCAAATTAACACCATAATCTTCTAGCAATTTTTCCCTGATTAGCACTATTTTCCATTCTGTCCTTTGTTAATTTTACTGACATTCTTTAAGAAACTGCAGCAAGCTGTTTTTGATGTCTAAAAAAATTTTAAATCCTTCCATCCAAAAAAAATTTATTTTTGATCCTTCCATCTAATCCTACTCATTTCCAATTTCTTGTGAAACCTGTAGGATAATACCCATTTCTAAATCACTCCTTTTATTTTGCTAAAAATTCCATTTAGCAGAGGGACAGTAAAAACCAATGATCAGTATGACAGCGAGCAACACTTGAGGAATGCACACAAGTGACAGTTTATTACCAAATTTGTACAAAACCAGTGACATCTCAACACCTTACTTGTATGGAGCATGTGTGGGTAGCCACATAGCTGACAATTCTGATGTACAACATATGATCATCATGATATGCTTCCTTTCAGGGACACTAGTAGGAACTCCATTTTTTGGTAGACAAAAGAACTGAAGTACTCATTTTTGTGGTTTAACCTAGCTGGTAGTTACACACCACAATGCCATGGGATGGCCGAGAGAATGGAAAAGGGGAAAAGGAGGAGAACTTATCAGCTGAGGTAAGGGCACTTCAACAATAAATATAAAAACAACACAACCAACCATTGAAAAAACCACCAAACCATAGCACACAAAAGGGGAAAAAACAACACAAAAACAGATGAGTAAGTGATGCATTAGTAACTGATGCACAAGGCAATTGCTGACCTCCAGCCAAGCCACCTCCAAACAGGCCTCAAGCAGCAGCAGCAGCCACCCCTGCCACTGCTGATGCCATATGGACGGGCACTCCTTCAGTAGGCTGAGGCCACCTGATCAGTTTCTGCCACGGCAGTGAGCTTACTGGCAGGGCAGTGTCAGAAGCAGAGAAGTCCTTGACTGGGTACGAGCAGTGCTCAGCAATAACTAACACTGTGGTATTACCAACATTATTGTCATCTCAAAGCCAAAGCACAGCACCGTGCCAGCTACTAGGAAGAAAACTGACTCTATCTGCTGAAACCAGAATGCTCATGAATTTATTTCAGTTATCTTAACATTACATGTTTTGGGAACGTCTGTTGGATAGCAGTATTTCATTTCCCAGAAGTAAGTGCTTGGGCTTTGCTGCCTTCTCAAAAAGCAACATTGCTTTTGATCCATTTAACTCATCACCTCCATGTTTTGTAGCTATAATAGGAAGCAGTTGCATAACGAGCTCACACGTTTCTGTAGCTATGCCATATGGTCCTGTGGTTTGCATACTGCAGACTGAAGAACAAAATAATTGAAATGCAGTCATCCAAATTCTGCCCAGAAAGCAAAGTGTTTGGCTTGCACCCATTCTATCTGGAACACAGCTCCACCAAATTGCAGTATTAAAATATTTCCTCACAGAGGACATGAAGGAAAGCCACAAAGTCTGAAAATTGGGTTTTGACTTGAGGAAATGTAGGAGGACTTTTGGAAAAAAAACAACAACAAAAACTAACGTACTACATCCTGCCCCTCAAAAACATAAACAGAAAGCAAGCAACCAGTTACAGGCAACATGACAACAATAATGTTTTCCAGATAAGCTTCTGCTGCTTAGTGGAGCATTAGAGACTTACAGCATTTGAGGGTTCAAAAAGTTTGTTTTTAAATGACTGTCCCACCTATTCCAGATACAGCCATCTTTTCTGCTTGTACTGTCCCTGATGTGTCTGGAGACCACTTGTCTGCCACTTCATCGCATAGGGACTTACCACACAGAGAAACAGAAAGGGCTGTTTCACACGCTCCAGCTCACAAGCACATGTGCACTGTGTACTTGTAGCACGTGTGCTCTTAGAAGAGTGGCAAAGGACAGCTCTGTGTGGTACTGAACTGAGGTGTGCACCTGATTGCTGGTCACCATGAGGAAGCCTGACACCCTGAGCAGATAGTGGAAATGTTCAGCTGCCTGTCAGAAATCCCACACTGTCCCTCATCTTGCAAATTTCTCCACTGAAATAACAACAGAGCTGAAAGTTTCTGAGGATTTGGACTTATTTTCAAATCACAGGCTGCCTATTTTGACACTTCTGTATGTTTGGGATGGGAACAAGGAGGTGGCAGAAGAAACCAAACAGGATTCTCACATCATTGCATTGCTGGCCATGTGCTGGAGCCTGAAAAAAGGACTTCTGCAGCATTTTAACACAAACATTTCACATGACAGAAGCCACAGTAAACTTCAATGTTTTCCTGTGCCAGCCTGGAGAAGTTATCACCTTTTCATGTAATTAGCTAAGTTGGTTGTTACAGCTTTCCACATAAAAAGAAAAACAATTTCATTGCTGCGATTACTTGTAGCTGAGAGTGAAAGAAAAAAAGAACCATATCAGACAATTTTCTTGAAAAATAAATGGATCAGTCAAGTTGCTGAATTCTCACGAGAGAACTCATCCTTGAAATTTAATATAGTATAAGCTCAGCAGTGTACCAGTGCACACTTTAAATAATGCTTTTCCAAGACATGTTATTCTCTCCTTTTAATGAAAGCAAAAAAAAAAAAAAAAAAAAAACCAAAGAAGAAAAAAAAAAAACCACAGTAAGCTACATATCTATGTATCTAAGTTCAGTAACTATCACCTCTGCAGCCGTGCACTGCAATAATACTGGAGACTTAAAGGTCCAACTACATCAAGTACGAACACATTGCAAGAAATTAACTGCTTTTCTTAGATTTTAGCATTGGTACCCCAAGGAGAAAACAAAATAATGACAGAAGAATTAAGTATATGACAATCAGCACTGATAGTTGTTCTGATTTACTGCTGCATTGGGAGATCTTACAATCATGTTATTTATTTGCCTAGACTAGGGCTTGAGGTGCCCAATGTAATATTTGCCTTTTGGCAAAAGGACCTGGGAATGTGAACCATGAATACATACAGCCACACACAGATGCCAGGCTAGAAACACAGACACCAAGAGCTACCTATAAAGAATGCTTTCACAGAGAGCCTCTTGTATACCTGTAAAAGAGAGGTACTGGAGAAGCAAAATGGCAGTCACTGTACTTCTTCCTTAATAAAATTCAGCCATTATTACATCTGTGTCAGGGCACACAGAAAGCCAGCAGCTCCACTGGTGGCAGTAAGGAGGGATGCTGGGGTTGGGCAGGATGCATCCCACCACCACAGCTGGGAGCAGGGCAGGGAGAATCCCGGGGAGCCAAGACAGCCCCAGCCCTCACCTGGCACGTCCCTGGGTTGTGACAGCCCAAGGTTAGGCCAGGATGTCAGGACCCAAGTCCTGTCTAGTTCAGAGCAGTAGCCTAAGCAGAGTCCTGGGTACCAAGCTAGGGCTAAACAGGGCCCAGTAGTGCTTTCTGGATCCTAGCAAGTCTGAATATCTTTACCACTTCAAAATAGCTTCGCAATGAGGAGAAGACAATAATAAAATCACCCTAACAATGTCCCTGACTTTCCTCCCTTTGGAGAGGTAGGAGTAAAATTCCCATCAATCTCAGTAACGCAAATTAGCATCTATCCCCTATCAGGAGAGAAAAAAAGGAACTGTCTCTAAATGTTTGGATCAGTAGCTTTACACTTACTTACACTACCCAGTGGTTTGATTCTGCTTATTGTAAATAATATCATGAACAGGCAGCAAACACATATTGTTGGAGGAATAATGGCATTCTTCTGTCTTAATACTTTAGCTAGTATTCAACATGAAGAGAATTAAAGAATCTCCTGGAAAAAAAAAGTTAACTGTACTGTCTTCAAAATAAAAACAAACTCCAGAAATGAAAGCTATCATACTACAACTATTCATTCTTCAAAAAAATAACACAGTGAGTACTTTAGATTTACTACTTTCAGAGCTTATTCAATATTATCAAAACACATAGCAATAAAGCCTGTGGTCGTACACATGTAATGCAATGGGAAGTGCAGTGAGAGCAGAACAGCAAGGTTCTAGGTTTTAGCAAGTGAGGACTTGCTCAAATGCAACAGCTGTAGTCACAGAAACAAAGGAAAGAAGCTGCTTACCTGCAGAAGGCTTCAGGTATGCAGAGATCTCCAGTGATACACCCTTGTCTCCACTGCCAACCCTTAAATGAGCTCTGGGAAGGGCTGGATCCTGGCTTCAATCCTTCTGGTCACTCAGAGGCACTGAATGCACCTGAGCTCACCTGGATTGGCCCTGCTTCTCCCACAGGTACTCAATCACTGTTTCAGGCTGTGACTTGCACTTCTGCTACAATGAGCTAGCATAAAAGATGTTTCTTGAACTTCCTAAGAAGATCATGTGCAGAATGGATCAGAATTGATGTATGATTACATTTTGCTCTGACTAGCATTAGGTATGTCCATAACAGCTACATTCAGGTAAACATTTTCAGAACACCTGTTATCTCACTGACTCTGTCAGCCAATACTGTATCCTTTGGAGGATAATAAGGAACATTCTCTGCTGCTCTTCTAAACACACATGCCTACCCAGCACACACAACCCAATTCAGTGCCTCCAGGATGGTTACATATGCTTAAAGTTAACTGCCCAGTGAATTGCTTGGTTGGATTATGTTCAGTGCAGCTCACAAATCCTTATTTCAAATGCAAAATAAATTATTTTAAGAACAGTAATGTATATTTTTACAGGTTAATAGTCTTGATAACTCTGAGATGTTGAGAGGCTTCTACAAGATGTGCTCCATGGTCTTGTTTCTACAGAAACACACAATTCAATGTATATCTAATTGACAATGACAGAATACAATCTTTCCCACAAAATATCTTCAACTCTTGACACAAACTTAAGCAGCTTAGATTTACTGGACTACTTCTAATTTGCATTAGTTTTGCTATAGCAGATTTCAAATGTACAGGAGACTAAAATTCTGCTTGGATTACAGCATATAGTGATAAAATGAAACAAAACTCTAAGGGCTGAACTGTAATACTAAGCAGGTATTTCCCTTCTGGTGTTTTTCCCTTAAATTATCATTGGTTTAGGTCATATACAGGCATTTAGGTACTGTTGTGTAATAGAATTGAACACCTCATGTCTGCATTGTTCTCTGTGTCTCACACCGCAAAACGTCAAGGAGAATTCAGTGCTAGTATTTCAGAAAGTGCCTATTTAAAGTGCAGTATAGATACCCAACTCTAACAAAGCAATTTACACAAATTTCACTTGGTCTCTTAAGCCTGATATTGCTGAAGAAAACACCTGAGTTCCTAAAGTCCCCCTAATGTACACTTGAAGAGGCTGATATCTTGACTAAGTAGAGCATCAGGGCATCTCTGCTCTACATAAACATATCAGGAGGCCAGGTTTCAGTGCCAGGGCTCAGTCCCACAGGCAGCCAAGCCTCATTCACAGCACTGGTGGATTTGAGTTCACCTCTGGAGTATTTTAACCACGATCTGTAGCTGAAGGGAAAATTAAATGCTGATGGTTTAAAGACCAGAGAGCTTCAGGCTCTGCATTGTAACATCATACACACAGCTATGCTAGGTCTGCACACCAGCACCTCTGCACAGAAGAGAACATTTTCACCACGTTAGTCTTTCTTAGCCATATTCCCATTACTCAAAATTATTTCAGCATGTATGATAACACACAGGTATTAAATTGCTTTGTTCCTTTCATACGCAGTGCTTGGAAAACAGTGATAGAGACTGGGTTTAGTCCATTTCCCAGAAAGTGCCTCTACCAAGAAGAAACATACAAAGAAAAGTGTATTTCATCTGTATAACCCAATGCTACAATTACAATCATATAATATCTAATTATGTACTCCATAAATCTTCATATTTTGTTATGAAGCTCATAATAACAAAATCTGATAAATAGATTCTCTCCCTGGCCACTACCAATTGAGTAGAAAAAAATACTTATTTATGAAGTTTTATTAATAAAATGTGAATAATTCAAACGGCTTCTTCAGTGAAGAAACAGCAGTAGAGTATGCTCTTATTTGCATATAGATGAAATGATGCTTTAGTGTCAGAGTGAAGAATTAAATAATACGAATTCTTACAGTGCAATCCTGACAGCCTCATAAATATCATGGTCATAAGTTGCAGTTTCCTAAAATCTCATTTTATCTTTTATTACAAAAATATGACCAAAGGGCCAAGTTCTTCTCATTTTACATGTGTGAGTATTCCCAATGACAACATAATTATGCAGTAAGTGAGGTTACCAGACTCAGCTTTATGTCAGATAAAGGAGCAAAAGCACAGTGTTATCGACGTATCTATGAGGAGAACAGAATCATTTAACTATTAAAAAAGCACACCTTATATGCTGGTGAAATGTAGAAAACAATGACAACTGTAGCTCTACATTCAAACAGATGTTTCACATACCAATAATATATAATACAGGCAAAAGAAAAGCATTCAGTTTAATATTCATAAGATGCCAGTTTTCCCCTTAGCCACGTAGGAACCATTTAGGCCAGGCACTGTATTCCTGTTAAGCTATAAGCAATCACAGAAATTGCAGCACATATAAGAATATTCAAATTACTTTAAATGGATAGTTGCTGCCAAAGAAAGCTTTAATTTTGTCTAAAAGTTGAAAAAGTCTCTGAAGCATCACTCCAGACCAGCTATACTGCTTTGCTTTTGGCTGTACGTCTCAGTCTTTTGTCGAGGCACGGCTGTTGAGCTGATCTTGTGACAGACTGCAGTAGCAGAGTATGGAAGGACAAGATTTGGGTAGAAAGAGCTCAGGTGCACAAAGTGCATTCTTCTATGTGGCAAATAAAGGCAAGGGCTGGAGACTCTCCTTGAAGTGCTCTGAGACATATTGAGTAATCTGAGACACAAAGTGGGTGCAGTCATCTCCCCTTTACCTGCAATTTTTCTTTCCCATCCCACAGCGCAGTGCTGAGCAAGAGGGACAGGGCAATCAAAGATGGAAAAGGCATACAAAGAAAGGAAAGTCAGATGTGGGGCAGTAGTAAGAAAAAATTATTTACTGAGTTTGTGAAGAGCTTGTAAATATAGAAATTTATTTACAAAGTATAGCAAAGATGAAGACATCAAAGAGCCAAGAAATCCACCACAGCCCTCATCTGCTTTTTTTTTTTCCAAGAGTTAATTGTTGTTAGCAGTACTGAGTTGAGTACTGATGGACAACACTATCTGAACTTGCTTGGTTCCACCTACCAGGAATTATTCCCTCCTACACCACTTTTTGGTAGATTTAAAGAGCCCTAACATTCAAATATTTTTTTCTGTGCATTTACGTATACACTGCTGTGAACTCAACTTTCAATCCGTTTGGTTCAGTAGTTAAATTAAAATTTTAATTCTTCAATTACATAGCATTTTCTTTGACAGGTCTTTTCTGCACTCATTTCATTCTTCTGGTATCTATCTTGCAGAGCACATTATGCTTGAATCACCTTCATGATTTCTACACACATGTAAAAATTGCCACCATTAGCATCTGCACTCTGCCTATGCAACAAGGTTCGCACGGACCCCTTTTGCTACAACATCACACTTGGAACTTGTGTTCAGTTATTTGCCAGTTGACTTACTGGCCCTCTTCAAACTTTTCCATTGTGTAGGATAACCATATAAGATTACTTATTCTTAGGTATATGTCTTTTACTAACCTTATTAAAACATAATTTATTTGGATGGGACCTAGATTATGAAAGGTCAAGAATTCCTCTGCATCTTTGGGGTAATTTTTATGTCTATTTTTAACTCTCTCTAAATAGGCTGTAGAAGCTGCTATATTATCGTATATTTTCTGACACAATATTTTTTGACATTTCAGATAGGTCTAACTGATCAGAAAATACTGGCATAGACAGTCATTGCCACATCCAAGCGCATTATTCTTGGGCTCCCTAGCATCACAAAATAAACTCATTTGCATGTGAGAGCAAAGCTGGCAATCTCAGCTTTCATGTAAAATGGTTAAGGTATGGAAATGGAAAATGAAAAACAGAAAGAAAAAATGTAGTTCCATGGTTTTCAAATCAATCTCTTCGTGTTAGTGCAAGACTCATGAGTCCTGAATGATTGAATTTGACAGTATTCCTAAAGGGCACAATAGCATGAAGAGATTTGTCTCAACCTGGTGCTAAAGAGAGAAAATTCTGCCATAGAATCATGTTGCTTGACAATAAGAGGAATTAAGTTAGGAAACATGACATTTAGGCTAATGAAGACTGAATAACATATTCAACAGCCTATATTAACATTAAAGTGTACACACTGGTATACATATGTACTGTCAGGGCAATAAAAGCTTGTAATATATTATTAGTATACTAAGTAGTTTCTAATTTCTCGCTCTTAAGTTTCTAATTTATGAGTAAATACTTTTGGGACTAGTGGGTTGTAAGGATCTCCTACCTCTGTCTGTGCTGGAAACATTCCTCAGTTATCTTTTTGAGATCTTTCCTTTGAGACTGAAGCACAGTAGAAGCACAAGGAGACTTATGCTAGCTTAACTGACCTAAGAAGTTAATAGCTGTGTTCTGGCATTGACACAGACTATTTTAGATCTGTCAAAAAAAAATAAAAATAACAATTGATTCACCTGCAGATTCTGGCAGCAGTAGATGCAATCTCACAGTAAAGTTTTGATCCTTTCTTGGAGAGCTCCCAGAGGCTGGCTTTGGCAATTGCTTGTCAGCCTTAAGCAACGTTCTTCTTGGGCCTGGCTTGTCATTTGGCTTCTTATCCTACAGATCCAACCTAGAGATAAAGCCACAAAGAGGAGACAATTCAGCACTTTGACTTGTAGAGCATTGGACATGCTGCTTTGTTTGTCATATTTGGCTGATGCAATTTCTTCTCTTTTGTTCTGAGAAGCTCTGCCTTTACATTGTTAGAAGTGGAAATTCAATGTTGAATGAGAAGATGGAGACTTCTCTGTCCCAGCAAACAGCAAAGAAGGAAAGGGATTTCTGCTTTCCCAAGCCAGCATAAAAGGAGCATTTCTTATGCTTTAGCAAAGGCACAGAAGCTGTTTTACGTATTTTACAGTCATTCTGAATAAAATTAGCTAGAGATACTTAAGCAAGGATTACGGAAATACGGTATACATGATCTATTATTTTTTTGTTAGGATGTACATGAAGAAAGACACTGTGGAAGGGGTGAATTTTGGGAAGATATTTTTATGAAAGTCACAGCCAGCTTGACTGAACTTCTCTCTTAAGCAGATGAGAAGCTAGAACGTAAAAAGCACTTTTAGAGATAAATGAAGGTGAGCATTAAGGTTGGCATTTCTGGCAGACTAAGGAGGACAATAAAATAAGAGACAATATTACATTATATTACAAGTGCAGTTATGCTTGTGAAACAAATACTAGTAAATTGGACATAACGGAGAAGAAGAAAATGGAAAGACAGCACAAGGGAATACAATGCATTTACATCAGTAGGAAAGAAGAAAATGGAGAGGAACAAGTGATCAAGGCAGATAAATGATGAGGGTCTAAATGAAAAAGCTTTTAGGTGCTGGAAGGAAGAAACTAGAGATACAACAGAGAAAGAAACCACAGCTCTGTAGAACCTATTTTAGAAGATAAAATGAAAGGGATTTGTCACTGCCCATGAACGCAAGTGAAGCAATAGTGAGAAAAGCAGTATTGCTAACAGAAATGCCAAGAACAGAAGCTTCATAGAAGGGGTGATGGTTCAGTACGTAGATTCCCACAGCACAAAAGCAGACAGGGCAAGAGGCAGGCTGCGATTCTGGCCGTGAGGCAGCAGGGCTGAACACAGATAATCACCAGATCTTTTGCAAATATGAATTTGAAAGTTATGGCTATACAGTGCAATGGAATGCTCAGCAGGTAACACCGCCCCACCAGGTTAACTGAAAATGGCAGTGCCTGATGCTAGCAGCAGGACAGTCCTGCTCGAATGAACACTTACATAATGCTTCCAACTTCTAGAAGATTACATGGATAAAAGAAAGCAGAATTTGTCATTATTTTGTCATTATCCCTCATTTAATTCATGTTTGCTATAATCTGCTCTTAAATACCCTCACCCTTAACCTAAATAAGCCTTACTGCAATTTAACTGAGCAAAACCTCTGAGCAAAAGCTGCTGCGCTGCTTTGTTAAGATGTCTGAACAGAAGGTGCCAATTAGAACTGTTGGGGAAAAAGATAACCCGTCCCACAGAAAACACAAAAGCAGCTGACTGAGCAACATATCTGGGCACCCTCTTTCGAAACCGTGTAACAGGAGACCACGCAGCTCGGTAAAGGCAGCGGAACCTGTTTCTGCTTTGAAGTTCCCTGCGTGCTGTGAGGCGGCAGCCGAATGGCAGCGCTGCCCTGGGAACCTCGGCAGCGTCAGGGGTTCCTGTTCTTCACCGAGGGATGAAGTTACTTGTGCACAAATGCTGAAGAGACAGTCTTTAATAGAAACGACGCTTATTTTTCACCTCAAAATAACAACAAAAAGTCTGGATAAAAGAAAAAAAAACAACAACAAAAAACCCAAACCAAACCCCACACGAACAACAACGTACATGGAGCAGCTTCACGGACTCCCGAAGAACTGAGCTGAATTGAAGGCAGATCTGAAGACAACCAGATCTTACCCCCGGCTGGCAATTATTTCGCAATAACCCCACACACAGAGAACAAGATTTACGCGGGCCGTTATCCCGCAGACACTGCGGCCCACACGGGAGGCCCAGCAGGGCCCCGCCGCCACACAGCTCTCCCCCCCGCTCCAGCAGATCGCAGGGCAGCCCCGCGGCCGCAGGACGGCACGGATCAGAGCGGAGCGGCAGGCGCACAACTCGCCACCCCCACTGCCGGCCGGCCGCCTCTCGGGGCGGGCCTCCCGCTCTGCCTACCAATAGCAGCGCGCCTCCCCGCGGCCCGCAGTCCCATTGGCCGCGGCCGCGGCTTCCGCCGAGGGCCGGGATTGGTCGCGGAGGGGCGGTCGGCAAAAGGCGGCAGCGGGCAAAACTTCGGTGCGTCGCGGCAGCCGCGTGAGTGAGTCCCGCGCGCGTCCCCGAGCCCCCTCACACCCCCTCGCGCCCCCGCTCCTCGCTGCACTGCGGCCGGTTCCGCGCGGCCTTCCGTTAGGCATCGACGCGGCTTGCTCGTCCCCCGCCTCCGCTGCGGTCCCTCGGCGCTTCTCCTGCAGCCCGTCCTGGGGAGGCCCCGCTCCGCGCCGGGCCGATGCCCGCATGTGATCCCGGCAGGGCGGGGCGGGAGGGCTGCGGGACGTGGGCCGGCGGCCCCGCTTCTCCGTGCCCGACGGGGGAGCAGCCCGCGGGGTCCGGCCCCGTTTCCCGCACGGCGCGTGCCTCGAAGCTCCGGCCCGCTGCTATTGATGCCCGCGGCATGGCGTGTCTGACCGGGAGCCTCGCTGCGAGGGCTGCGCGTAATGCTAACCCGCCGTGACACGTTCCGCGTGTGCGCCCTTTGTCTGCGAGTACCGGCCTTCTCTAGCTCGAGTCCTGCGTGCGCTGTTGGTGCTGCTCGAGTCGCGGTGCTCCCGGTGGCTCTGTGGCAGTTGGCGATGCTGCAGCCGAGGACGGCCGCTGAGCGCTGGGGACCTGACCCGAGAGGCCCTGGAGCTGTGTGAGCCGTATGGCCGCCACCGCCTGCACCTCGCTCATTTCCAGGCCGTGCAGAACTTTTTTACTGTGATGGAAGCTGGAACACGTGAGGGTGAACTGAGCTGAAACTTTGCATCATCTCCATCTTCCTCTTTTTTTCTCTCAGATGATCCCTTTTGAATGTTTTGTAACATAAAAACTGGATGCCTGACTTGAAACTCCATCAGGTTCCATTTTACAACCGCGAGGCCCACTTCCAAGTTTGTAAACTGTTTTAAAATATATTCAGGTATTCCCGGCATTCAGTTCTGCAGCCATCAGCACCTGTTTAACACAAAGCAATGGAAGGGGCACCCTGTGTTACTGAGCCCCCTCTGCCCTGCCCATGTTCCCGAGGTCCTGCAGGCTGAGCAGTTTTGCTTCCAGCTTCCTGAACGTGTCAGCCTTGCACTGGCAGAAGCTGGAGCTGGGGTTCCATTTCAGCATGCTGGTTACAGCAAGCTCTGCCGTGCGCTGATGGGCTGTCCTTGCTCTGCTAATGAGGCCGTGTTCAGGGCACTCCTTGCTCTGCTAATGAGGCCATGCCATTGCAGGTTTGGAACAGGCTCGTCTGCCTGCTCAGCACTAGCAGGGCAGTGCCTACCTGTGAAAGGCTGCAGAGTGCTGCCTCGCTCCATGAGCCTCCAAGTTGCATTCTCCAGCAGAGTTCCCTCACAGAAAGAGGCTGTCGCCTGTCCCCATTCTGCTGCCTGAGAATGACAGAATAAAGGTAGCCAGGATTCTCAGGGGACAAAATGTATTTCTAGCTTGCTGAAATAGGTGAATCTTTCATCTGATGCTTTTCAAAATACGTTCTCCTCTTGTAGAATAGTTCAGGCAGAACTTTGTGGGCTCGGCAAAGGTACAAGCAAGGAAGATCCTCGAGAAAAAATGGTGCCACTGTGAGAGGCAGTGGTGTTGAGCTCCTCTGTCGCTGTTTGTCCTTCGCTGGTGCTCTGCATCTTTCTTCATGAAATAGGATTATCTTTTTTTTTTTAATTGTACATTAGTACAATAATTTACACCTTTTCTTGCAAGATTTGGGAAGAATCATTTCAAAATAAATATGCTCTATTATTTATATGAGAGATTAGAACAAATAATCATGCTTTTGGGTTATGTTCTCTAGAAAAGGGGGATATCTCACATATTGAGAAGATTTCAGGTTTTCAGGTTTTATGTCTTGCAGCTAATTTCTTGTGGACCAGTTCCCCACTTTTCAAAGCAAATTTCAGAAAAAATACATAGCTTTAACATGAATGAGCAAACACTCCACATAGAAGAAAATCATTTGTCTCTAAGCTTATCCTGCTTTCTTCCTTCTCTTCCCCTTTCTTACCTTTTACTGGAGATCAAGTGGGTTTACTGGTTTGATTTTCTCTGGGATGGTAGGTGCCTTGCAATTTTAGGCAGCGCAGAGGAATTCCTCACACTCTGAGTGTGGGGCACTGAGTGTAGTATCACATAAGGTTGCTCCCTCAAGTGTCCAGAAGTGGTTTTCAGGGTCTTGGATTTTTTTTCTTTAGTTTTGTGATGGAGACAGAGTCCAAGTCTCACTGTGATGAGCAGCACCCTCATCAGGCTGAAGACACAAGCAGAAAGCTTGCGCCAAACAGTAAGCTTTCAGGTACGTGCTTAAACAGGGACTGCTAACAACACGTTTTGGTGTTGATGTGCTTCTTCATCACTTCAGGAAGTTTTAACATCAACTGTCATATTGTATAAAGAATTAATGAAATGAGAACATTTGAAATTGTGATTGACATCAAGCATATTCCTGCTTTCCACGTGGCTACAGTTCATCAGCAGTAGTTTGTCACAATTCCTTTATCCCATTTATTTATTACAGAATATATTATTTTAAGGGATAATATAATTCCAAAATGGACTTCTTGAGAATAAAATTCCCTTACCAGACAGTGTCTCAACAGTAATATTTGCCTTTTAAAATAAAATCACCAGCCTTGGCCTTAAATATCTGTAGATGTGTTGGTGTGCACAAACACACTGTTCTTGCTCATGCAAGAGAAGCTAAAGTACAGACACGTGCACTGATAGTGGTTTTGTTGCTGTTTTTATTTTGTTTGTTTATGACTTAAATCTGGGTGTTCTGTACACAGGCACCATCCTTGCTCAGTAATTGCTGGTGGTCAGACAGTTTATATATAATGGCTACTGATTTTCCTAGAAATAGTCCTCTGTCATTTTGCTGCACATCCGTGTCCATACTTAGAGCAATGCTGAATAGCATTTGATGTCTCACTTTGCAAATGCTTTTAATTCTGGGAAGTAAATAAATTGCTTTAAAATCTAGCAGAAAACATTGCAAAGAGTGGCTGCATTTTTAAATTGTGTTGTGCCAACAATGGAGCGAGCACTATGCCCAGCTGGGGATTCAGACTCCTGGAAGAGAATGGATGATGTTTATGCAGCTAACAACAAGGACAGTCAATGTTTGTTTGCTTTGGGGATCTTTCACATGCGAAACTATGTTGAGTTGCTAAATTTTCTCAGTGCCTAAGATATGTACTCCTCTGGTGTACGATCACTCAGCTATTAGAGCTCTGATAACATTCAACTCCTTCAACTCGGTTGCACAAAACCAAGTAGCTGGCAGATTGTACTGCAGCAGTTGCAAGAGCTTTTCATTACTGCTACTATCTACCATAGGGCCATTGGTCTGGTGACAAGTTAAAAGTCAGCTTTAAGTCTGATCTGCTAGTTTCTGATCTGATATGCTAGACTTAAAAGATGTGGGCTTCAAGTCTTTATTGGAGTCATTTGCGTTTTGCCAAGGTTAAGTCCTTTTTTTCAACCAAACAATTTTACTGGAGCATTTCCAGTGCAAATTCGGTGTGATCAGTAAGAATTGAAGCTTAAGCTCCTCTTTTCAGAAGCCAAACTCAGATATGAGTGCTGGAACAAAACTGTAGGTTGCTTTATTTGGAGCAGGTTGCATAGCAATCTAGTTCTAAACAAGGCAATTCTGACAGAGCTGTTAAGATGCATATCAGCATTTCGAACCATTTGCTATGCCTGTCCTATGGCACACAGCCTCTAGGCATGAATGTCTGTCTAGGATATTACAGAACTAATAATATTCCTATCTTGAGCAGTAAGACCCATGTTTTACCAATGCGATAGAATTTATATTTTTATTAAATTGAATTTATTATTCATTTTTAGGATGAAAATGATGAACTTTCGGGTTTTTTTTCCATTTGATGTAGTTTCCAAATAGCATTTTTTTCATATTTCTGCATAATCAAATGTTCTTTAACCCTACTTCATACGCAGCTTCAAGAGAAATAGAGAACAATTAAAATAGAAGCATTCAGGAACTGAATGGAAAGCTAAGTTTTGGGAGGAATGCAGTTCAACATCCTTGTCCTGCCATCTAGTGATTGCAGCACAAAGTACAATAATTTAAATGCAAAGCAAATATGCTTTTTGGCATTTACTATTGTAACAGTTTAAAAGATTTAAGTTTAAAAGATTATAGTGGTGATCTTAAATAATAATAATTTTCCTACATTTTTGATTCTTGGTTTGCATCTCGTGGATGTGCTCCTTTGCTTACATAAACAACTATTATAGTTCTGTCTTTTGTGGCGTTGACATTGCATGTCTTAGGGAACACTAATCAGTGAGCATTAATCATGTGAAGTTTTACAAGAACAGCTTTTCCTCTCAGGAATTTCTAGGTGGCAGGTAGGTAAAATTTTTTGAAATGCTGCAGCATGGAAGGGAATGTGAAGAAGATGATCAATTAGGCAGACAGTAATGCCAGCAAGGATAGGTACCCCTCGCCTGTTTTTCCTTCAGTTTGTCAAGTTGCAGTACTAGAAATTGATGTAGATTTATGATCTGAATTACAGACCAGATACTGAATCGAGCAATAAAATTCTCAACTGATTTTCCCCATTCTTTCCACAGCAGGAATAAAAAAAGATATCGAAAAACTTTATGAAGCAGTGCCACAGCTTGTAAATGTGTTCAAAATTAAGGAAAAAATTGGAGAAGGTAAATGTTTTATTGTAGCGTACTTAAACTTACTTCTGTTTTGGAATGTATAACTTAGCAGATATAAATCTAAGATGCCAATACAAGCTATTTAAGCCAGATGCCTTTTGATTTACTTTTAGGTGTATACAGACAGTACTCCGTTCTTTTTTTACATGGAAAATCTATTTATGTGCATTTATGTTTTGACATATTTAATTACTAGGTTTGTTTCTGCTGAAACTGAGGGCAGAAGTGGAGGAGGAGGCTAGAATATTATAGCTGCTTTAGTTTCTTTGTTGTTGTTGCTGGGTTTTGTTTTTAGGATATACAGGATCAAATTTTGGAACACTTAGGTACTCCTGACCTTCAGTGGATACTATTGTAGATACTCTATTAGAAGGTAGGTACGACTGCAAGTAGATTCCTAGTGCCTTCTGAGTCTGGGACTTCAGCACTTTTTGAAACTTTACTCAGGAATGACACTCCAGCAAAGATGTGTATGAGAAGCAGGGTAGCTTTGTAGCTGTTTTGCAGTGGAATAACAGCGATGGCAAACCAGGGGGCTTAAAGATTGTCTGTCAAAGAAAGTAAAAAGTGCCATTCTGCACAGTGATCCAAAATTTCTAGAAAACGTGCAGTTCTGTTTGTCATAAATAAGATAGTCAAGCTAAATCTCCAGTTATGAATAGTACTCCAGTTTCTCTCCTGGGAGCAAACAATGCTCTTGAAAGCCAAAAATACCACTAGCAGTTCTGTGGCATAAAGACAAGACAAGCTTCAACTTAGGATTCCATTCAGGAGTCTGTTTTGTTTTAGCAGTTCTCACCACCAAAAAGAAGGTCTTAGGTCAACTCAGTAACCCATGTTGCTATGAGCAATTCTATTTGATTTATGGGACACTAGGTTTTTTTACGACTGCAAGAAGTATTTAGAAGCTTTCCTGGCATTTTGATGTATGTATATGCTTACAGACTGTTAAATTTAATGTGACACAAACACGGTAGTTAAAATATAATCAAAAGTAAATTTGAACTGCTTGTTCATAGGGAAGAATGCTCTGACTTGTATGTTCAGGTGTCTCAGATCATTAGGATAAATTAACCTTCCCAGAGATATTTTAGGATATCCTTAAAACTGTAACAGATAAAACTGTAATAATAAAACTTAAAGCTGTAATATTATTGTACAGTGTGAATGCTCTCTTTCTCAAAGGAGTCTATAATGTTCTGTCTATGTGGTATTGCTGGAGGCCAACAAATAGTAAAGCTATACCTTTATAAGGTAGGAAAGAAGCCTTACTTTATAAATAAGATAACAGAATTAAGGAAAATGTAATGATGTCAGAAGTTCCTTGAGTAGCAAAAGCAGTGCTAGCCAGATTAGCATTAGATAGCTGACTTACATTGCAGAGAAAGAAGAGTTGGATGTCAGATGAAAGAGAGCTACCTAAACAAGAAAGCAAATCAAAGACAGGAAAATTTACATTCAAAGAGCTCTATGTCCCCGGCAAGTTAGACAGTGTAACATTTGCATTTTTACTGACATTAAAAAAATTGTATACAAGATCACTGAATTCAGTAATAGAAAAAAGAAACTGCCTATTCTCTCTTCTAAAATCTGCTTTTGACGTAGTGTCAGATGTGCTGTAAGACTGTGAACATTTAGATCATTTCTGTAAAAATCTGAATTGACTTAATTAAAGTTGCTTTTCTCCCTGTTTTACAGGTACTTTTAGTTCTGTTTACTTGGCCACAGCGCAACTACAAACAGGATGTGAAGAAAAAATGGCTCTGAAGCACTTGATTCCAACCAGTCACCCTCTGCGAATTGCTGCTGAACTTCAGTGCCTCACAGTAGCAGGGTACTTTTAAAAAATTATGATTGTCATGATTAAAATGCTGAATGTTGTCTTGCTGCTCTGCATTTATGTATGTAAAGTTTAGGTGCTTCACTTGCATTTTTATTTTTTTTAATCTCAGAAATGTTTGAGACTTATAGCAGGAGCAAATAAGAAATGGATTCTTATCTGTAAGGAATGTCCTCTTTTGCTGGTCTCAGTTTGCAGACCATACTACATTTTCCATCTGAGAAGTTCCATAATGTATGTATGTGGGAACAGCTGCTTGGAAAAAATAATCTCTTAATAAGAAATTAAAGTTTTGGAAATGAATTCTAGTCACCAATGTGCTCAATAGCACATTTTTAGAGTAGCCAGTGTTTTTAGAGTAGCCAGCATTGTGAACTCCTACATCTAAATGCAGTGGTAACTACCAACTGTGGCCCCCTGATCTGTAGAGCCCTCATCTCAAACTGCAGAATTCAAATGGAACACAAGTACAACATAATTCCTGCTAATAAGACTGTTGCCAAAGTATAAATCAGATATTACAAGAAAGCCAGACTGAAGTTTACAGGAAATAAAGGAAAATCAAAATTCATCTTCTGGTCTTTGTTCAATGACGTTACTTCTCTTTTTTAGGGGACAAGACAACGTTATGGGAGTTAAATATTGCTTTAGGAAGAATGATCACGTGGTTATTGTTATGCCATATCTGGAACATGAATCCTTCTTGGTGAGTCCCAGACTTCTTATGTGTAATAAAACTTCTTAATTGAACGTAGTTGCATAATAATAGTATCCAAATAATCTTTCAGGACATTCTGAATTCTCTTTCCTTTGAAGAAGCAAAAGAATACATGTTTAACCTGTTTAAAGCACTGAGGCGCATTCATCACTTTGGTATTGTTCATCGTGACGTCAAACCCAGTAACTTCCTCTACAACAGGAGGCTGAAGCAGTAAGTCTGTCCAGATGTCCGTAGTGTGATCTCGTCTGGGGATGTGTGTCTTGGCAGAACAGATTAAATGAGGCTTTTGGTTTTCTTCCTTCCAGCTGCCTAACATGTGCTTAACTAATAAAGCTAAAAAAGGCTTTGTATTTGTAAAACTTTTATTTCTGTGTTTAGGGACTTGAGAATGGAAAGATTTTTTTTAGCATTTAATTTAACGTCTGCCTTACAGAGCGTCAAGTACCTGAAAAAGTGAAAATTTACTGTTGAGTATAGATACAACATTTTTTAATAAAAATGAGAATAAAATCAGTAACGGCCTGAAAAAAAGCTAATAGGTACTTGTTAAGCATAGGCTGGTATTTGTAACTTTCTACTCATGAATTTTTATAACTAATGTATTTGGTATCTGAAGACTAAGAAGTCATGTACTGCTTTTTGTTTTGGAATGGATTGAGTAATGTTTCATTGCTAGCGGTCCTGTGGTGACCAGTGAGAAGGGTGCAATTAGTGAAGGTCTGGTGGAGAAAGAATCTGATTAAAGATAAGTGATTTACAGTGGCATTGCTTGAGGTTTGGCAAACTCTTAGCATTGTTATTATTCCAGCTGCCTTCACTGCTGCATTGTGCCTCTGTCCCTGACAGGTCAGTTCACTTGGCTGCTTTTTGAGGTAATTCGGAACTGCAGAATGAGAACCCAAGAAAGAGATTACTGGGTATAATTTTCAAAATGTCAGCGGTGAAAGTACACTTGAAAAGCTTACAAGAAACAGCAAAGTAAGAGAAATAGGTGTGGTGTAAAAGTGAAGGGACAAACAGAGCCAGACAGATGAGACAGAGCACAAGGAAAAAAAGAACAGAGTTGCTGGTGGCAGCACATAAGCAACATGAGAAGTAAAATGTGAATAAACAAGTAATAAGTAGTTGATAAAACTGATTGATACTTTTTGACTCTTGATTCTAACTTTGTTTCTTTTAGGTATGCCTTGGTAGATTTTGGCTTGGCACAAGGAACTCCTGATACAAAAATTGAACTTCTCAAAACTGCCCGTTCTGAAGGCCAGCAGGGAAGTTACTCACAAAAGAGTCCCAGCATAGCTTTGGGAAATGGGGATTCTCTCGCTGTCACAGCACCTAGACAGATTGCTCACCAGTTAGCATCAAGAGCATCTGACAAAAGCTCACTCTCCAGCTCACACTCAAAAACACAGATTAAACAAGGAAGAGGAGGAAAGGTTATCAGTTGCTTTCATTAATATTTTTGCATGTTTAATGTATTTTTTTATCCAACAGGGGGAGATGTAATACCTGAACAAAAGCTGTGCTGATCTTGCAGATTTGATGCACTGAACCAATTTTCACATTGGAGCAGCTAGTTTTATGTAACACTATTGGCGTCATCCTGTATCTGTTAGATATAATTCAGCATTGAAAGCTGCATAAAACTCTAGCATGAGTTACTCTAGACAACCCTAAATCTTTTTTAAGCCCACATGCTGTTAAACTCCTCCCCAAACCAATAATTATTTGTGTATGCTTACTTGCATATATATAACAAACGCAAAACAGATGGCATTTCAGATCAGCTTGGGGCACGTGAGTTGTGATTAACTCTGTGAGCACATTTGTTGTTCTGTCTAGATGATGTTTTCTTCACAGTGAACTAATGCCTGAAAATGACTTACCGCGTAGGTGTTTCAGTTTTATGTCACTGAACACAGTTCTTGAACTGCCAGTGACCAGCTGAGCGCTGGATAAGATCCTTACTGTATTCTTGGTTGATGTTGTAGGAGGATTCTGTGCACCATTCTGCCCAACGCTCTGTCTTTGGAGAGAGGAATTTCAACATCTATTGTTCCACATACCAGGAGAACTCAAATACAAAAGTAAGAAACATGACTCATCAGTAAGAGCAATTTGTTACGTCTTAGAGAAATTATAGAACTAGTTCTATAAGATTGGGCAGAACCCTGTGAAACTAAAGTTCTCAGCTGACAATTAAGAATACAGATTATTAAGTGTGACTTCACTGAAAGGCTTGAAGAGTTTTTCACTTGTTTCAGTCCCTTTTGAAACTCCTGAAGAGGTGTTATTTGCATGTCTCCCCAACTCATCTTCTCTCTATGTTAGTTGGTATCTTTCCTACACATGTACCTTTCCCCCAAGATGTCTTTAGTTTGTGAAGCTTTAGCTTGTTATTTTGCAACTGAAGTTGTAGAGAAAACAAGTATGTAATAAATGTTTTCATTTTGTTGTTAAGAATTAATTTGATATGGAGAAAAACCCCCATGTATATTAGAAGGCTTGTCTAGCAATGATCATCTTACTGTAGAATTAAAACTAGTACTACTTTGGTTGTGGCATTAACTATTTCATACAGGTTTTTTTTACTAATGTTGAATCAAAAGAATGCTTGAAAAATTATGCTGACTTGAAAAAAAAAAGCTTTGAAGTTTCAAAATATCTACTGGATATTAATTTTTGTAACCACTGAAAAATGAAGTACATTTATAGATATTACGATTTGGTAGAAAGATTTGCTATCTCCTGTTTTAGAATTGGAGCTCCTTGCTGATGAGAGTCTTTTCAGTAGTTTTGAGACAGGTATCTATGTATAAAGGGAAGCTTCTTAAATAGTGCACCTTCTAAAAAAAATATCTGTGTTGCAGCTCATTAAACAATCTAAAATGATAGATGTTTCATCTAGAAAGTTAGTAACAAAGAAGAAGATTATTTCTACCAAAGCAGTGAGCAGGAAAGCTGCCAGTGGTTGTCCGTCAAACCTGACCTGTGACTGTTACGCAACGGACAGAGTTTGCAGTGTTTGCCTTTCAAGGTAATTTGCTTCAACAATGCTGTAAAATTACTTACTATGCTGTCAAACAAGGTCAAAAAGCTTGAATTTACTGGAGAGCTGTTTTTGTAGATGAAAGACAAGCATTTGTGCAGCCCTTACGACACTAGGTGTGCTCTTCAAAAAGAACAGTTCGTGGAATTTGTGCAGTAATCAGTTCACTGCTGTCTGCAGTAAGAGATTCCCTGTTAATGATTTTCTGTTGCTGTTGTATTTAATTATCTGCCTACATGTGTTGTAGAAGATAACCTGAGTTACAACACTTAGACAACAGTCTGTCATTGAACAGTTATCTAATAGGCCTAAATTACGCCAGCTGCATTGAAATTCAGTGATTGAACTCTTGCTTTCTAAGAACTTAAGGTGAAATACATTCATCAGGCTGTTTGCATTCTGGAAATCATGAAACACAGAATAAAAAGGAAAGATGACAGTGCTGTATTACTTAATTTGAAATATTTTAATAGTCAACAGGCCAGAGAATCTAAATAACTCATTTAGGGGACAGAAATTTATGCAGAGAAATCTGCTTGGTAGTCATGAAACTGTGTGGTACCTCTCCCCTGTCAAAATACAATGTTATCAAAGTCAGTTCTGAAATTAAACATGAGGAATTTGCTAGACTCACAAAAAAGCTGACCTGTAGAAGGAAAGCTCTTTTGGACCTTCTTTTCAAAAGACTTTTAATAACAATCTCACAACTTTTAGTTAATCTAACAAGAAGTAAATTCTTGTCAACACTCAGAAATAGTGAGCCTTAGTTTGCTCTGGATAAATAGAAAGCCATAATATCCACACCCAAGAAACCAATGCATTTTGTGCCATTGGTTAATTAGTCTTCACTTGAAAGTTCCTTTGAAAACACGTGTTGTCATTGAATGAAACTGAAAATATTGTGACTGAAGTATGCAGTAAGTATTCTTTCTATGTATTATAACAAGACCAATAATATAATTGGTAATTATAATAAGGTTATTTCATATGAGCTAATAATTATACACTAGAAAATTATAAGATGCTTCAGACATAAAAACTGAATGAGACATTTACACATCTCACAAAAGTATATTCTGAAAATATTAAACATCATTATAATTAGAACTAATAGAAGCTGTAACAGATCCCAAGATGACGTGCCCAGCAAGTCTGGAGATGACAGCTTTGCCAGTTGAAGTAGACAAACAATGGGCTCCTGAGACACTCAGAAAAGAAATTCAGCACTTAAAGAGCTGTCAGGAAGATGATGCTTCAGAAAATAAGGCAACAGACATGAAAGGATGGGATCAGGTTCCTGATGAAGCATACGACCTACTACTAGACTTAAACCCTGCAACAAGAATAACTGCAAAAACTGAATAATGCAGATTTACACATCTGACAAAAGTATATTCTAAAAATATTAAACATCATTATAATTAAACATCATTTATTTCTGAATGTATCTATTCTAAACGTATTTGTCTCTTACAACAAGGTGTCAACAAGTTGCTCCCAGAGCAGGAACACCTGGATTCAGAGCACCAGAAGTACTGACAAAGTGCCCCACTCAGACAACAGGTACTACACAACAGACAAAAACTAAATGTCTTTCTTTTTTTCAAACCTATCATTTATGCACTGACATCATCTTTTGTATAGGAGGCTGTTTACACATGAAGTTCGTTTTATTATCCCTTTAACATTTATCAACCATTTCCCAATTTTAATTTAAAGTTCATTACTCAGAATAAGAAGGAACTAGGAATATTTTCCCATGTTTGAAACTTGAATGTCTTTATCCCTTTGAGGGGTACTGCCATGTGCAGGAGTTCAATAGCACGTGTTTTAAAAGAAAACAAAGTTGTAAGTTTTATCAAGTTTCTTGGCTCGTTGGCTTATTTATTCAAGAAAAATCTTAAATAAATCTTAGAGAGATATGCTTTAGGCTTTTCTGGACTGTTTGCCACATGTATTTTGCTGTCACAGGCATAATTAATTGTATGAGTGCAATTTTTATGTTTTTTATGAAGTGTTAGTTAATCAGTACTTTTCACTGGATTTTTTTTTCTTCTTTACTAATGCTGTAAATGGATAATCTGTACATTTTATGATTTTTTCTTACTAAGATTTTTAATTTTTCAGGGATAAAACCTATATGTTTCAGTAATCTGGTAAATATTGGGGCAGAACAAAGGGGTGGTTAATGCATTAGCTGACACAAGTAGGCTGGGAGAAACTCTGCGTACATGGAGAATTGGAGGACTGATACAAAGTTAAACATGTCATGTGTGACCAGAGGTTTTGATTATGAAAATGAAAGGTAGAAACCAACATTCTCAAAATCTGTATTTAAAATAAGTTGATAGCCATCTTTTTTGCTGAGCACTTTGTAAGAAAATAGTCGATTTGCAGCATTTGAAAGTGCTTATACACACTCAGACTAGCCTTACAATACATTTGATCATCATATCCCTTGATAGCTTAATGCTATTTCAGACAGGATCTGTGCTGTGGGCATGGCTGGGATTTCAAGAGGAATGGCAGCCTACTTGGAGTCACTGTGCCTGTGCAGTAACAGCCAGCTTTGAGAGCTAGGAGACATCCAGAAATCCAGGACAAGTTTAGACAATCCCTAAATCTGTCTAGACAGAATTTGTGCAGAAAGAAGACATACTTAAGAAATTTTGGACACAGGGTTGTCTTCAGTGTGCTTTCAGACAGTTTTCTGTTCTCTAGGGTAACGGAGGGCAGGATTACAGAAAATATGGGTAAATCTGGAAACCCTCGGGTGTGGCCCTAAAGGTATTGAGTCAGTGCTGCAAAGCTTCTGTAATATGTCAACAAAGTGCTTAACTAGAACTGGGTAGAATAATACTAATATTTATGAGATAATGCTATACTTGAGCTAACAACAAATCTCCTTACCCAATAACATCTGGGACTGCTGTAGTCACCTCCTTGTACTCCTGCCAATCTTGCTACTAGTTGTGGTCTTTGTGCCGAGACCAAGTTATCAGATGGATCCAGCTGGCTGTGCAGAGCTACCTTAAATAAGTGAGCCAGGTTTAAAACACAGAGAATACAACCCAAACCTACATCTCGGCCCTAAGCAGATCCAGTTACATTTTTTAACTTGATTTGTTCCTTTGTTTCCCCTTAATATGGTATCACTCACTAGTTAGATACTAACCACTAGGCAAATGCACAGAGAGGAATCATGATTTTGATGTCATTGCACAAGATCCCACAGTCTGCTGAAGATGCCAACCCTATCAGAACTGTAGGACTTAGTAGTAATTTCACTATATAATTGTCTGACAACATCAGGAAGAACTAAATAATTATCTTTAAAAGTCTTCACCTTAATGACTGTCCTTCCCAACCACATACTAAGGGTGATGCATAAAACTGTAAGCAGCTGGTGTGATCAACATCAACACAGTACTGCTAAAACTTTTTCATTGAAGATAAGATGCAGAATTCTTGCACACTGAATTATTGTACCCATAAATAACTTGGATTTTGATTTTTGTAAAAGACTTGAAACCTGTGTTTGTAGACCAACTTAGAAGTTTCAGAGCTCTTTGCCGTTTCTAGCTAAAATGTCAGACTTAATTACTGCATATTTTACTGCCTATTTTTGGAAGATATGCAGGATGACCAGAGGTTTATTTCCCAACTTAATTTTTCTCTTTAGAATTTGAGAGTTCTTCAGACTCTCTCCTTCACTTTCCTTGCCATCTCTCAAAATGTGCAACTTAGCCAAAAAATTACAGCAGACAGGTATTCTTATAACTTTCATTATTAAAGTTTCCATCATGCTTTGGCTTTTTCCATCAGAGAACTCCCTGTACTCTTCATAACACAATGAAAGTGATGAATAACTCTTACAGTTCTTAACAATCTTGTCAAGTGGTTTCATATTAGAGAGCAAGCAAGTCTGTAGTAAGACAAACCTTTTAGTTCATCTAACTGGCAACCTCAGTCCCAGAAAAGTAAGATTTACATTCAATTCTGAATTGTTTTGTATTCATGAACTTTTATATAAAGTTTTCTCCAATCTAACCAAACTTATTGAAGTATCAAAACTAGCCATTTTTTCCTCTCTCAGCTCCCTGATCAGAATAACTCCAAATGTTGTTTCAGTACATTTCTTAAAGCAAATTAATGAAATTACTCATGTGAGAAATTCTATAGACAAACATTCTCTATAAAAGAAGGCATCTGATTTTATTTACAAGTATACCAATTTGCACTGCTTGCTGAAGTGTTATCATTGTGACCACAGCCTGTAGGTAATTCAGAACATTGCTTTCTCTGATGACAACACTTCTGGTCATAATTTCTTTTTCAAGAATTTGGGATTTTGCTTTTGATGAAACTTTACTTGTTCTGCTTGCTTATTTGTTACTAAGCTTGCTTTCCATTACAGCAATTGACATGTGGTCTGCAGGAATTGTATTCCTTTCTCTGCTCAGTGGACGGTATCCATTTTACAAAGCGAGCGATGATTTAACTGCTTTGGCACAAATCATGACAGTTCGTGGATCTCGAGAAACCATTCAGGCTGCTAAAACTTTTGGTATGCAAACCTTAATTATGGGGAGGAGGGGAAAATGTATGCCTGGTCTGCTGTTTAATACAGTGATTTATGATCTAGTTGTGACTTGTTTTTATTTTAAACAAACTTTTAACTTTGGGAGTCACTTTGGAGGTAAGTCACACTTCTTGCATGCAAAATAACACTTATTTATACATGCATACAGAGTTTTAGGAGAGCTTTTATTTGTCTATCTTTTATAATTTTTTTATGAGGAGTAATTTATTCCGTGGATTTCCTAACTTTGCTGCCTTTCAGTAACTCAGGGCCACTTGAGGTGAAATATGCCAGCTAAATGTTTCCTACTTCTTAGAATTCTTGAAGTAATATTTATTCCTGCAAAATTTGCTATGGAGCCTTAAGTTGTATTGACTTAATATTTAGAGGATGTAAATCTTGCATTTTTATCCAACTTCAAGAAGGACCAGAAAAAACCAACCAACCAACCAAACAAAAAAAAGCCAGTAGAAAATGCAAGAGGGCCTGTTTGGAGGGAGAAGAAAAAGCACAAAAATAGAAATAGCCATTTTCCTTGACTGCAAGCCAAACATTAAAGCACTTGGTACCTGGAAGTGTAACTGACAGCATCAATTTTAATTCTCCAAACAGGTGTTTAAATCAGTAATATAAGCAATGAACTGAACTGGGTTTTAAGTTTTCAGTTCTGTTAAGATGAGGGTGAAATGGCAAATGGTGCTGTGTGGACTGAGTGACGACTTGTCAATTTATAACTTCATGTAAAAACACAGATCTGCTCTAAGCAGAGCTACTTCTGGCTTTCTGGGGCCCTTACTGTCAAACATGGCTGATTTGGGTTTTTTTAATTAGCTTTGAACTAATGTCAGTTAAGCTTCAATACTTGAAATTTCTCTGAAACAAACTTAAAAGTTGAGTCATAGAGCACATAAAATAAAATGTAACTTATTTTATTGTTAAAAAACTGACTGTAAAAACTATTTTTCTCTTAGGTAAATCAGTTCTGTGTACCCACGTTGTTCCAGCACAAAACTTACGAACCCTCTGTGAGAAGCTGAGAGGAACAAATAGCAGCTCTAACAGATCCCACGGTGACATGCCCAGCAAATCTGGAGACAACTCAGTTTTGCCAGTTGAAGTAGACAAACAATGTGCTCCTGAGACAATCAGAAAAGAAATTCAGCACTTAAAGAGCTGTCAGGAAGATGATGCTTCAGAAAATAAGGCAACAGACATGAAGGGATGGGATCAGGTTCCTGATGAAGCATACGATCTACTTGATAAGCTACTAGACTTAAACCCTGCAACAAGAATAACTGCAAAAGATGCTTTGCTGCATCCCTTTTTTAAGGACATGAGACTATGAGAACATGCTCTGTTCATGCTTTTGTACATTTTATGTGAAAATGAGATAATTAAGGAGTTTTAATCCATTGCCCTTACACTCATTGAAGTGCTATTACACTGTGCACAGCACTACTGAAATTGTCTCACAATTGGACTGCAAATGCAACTTCTTAAAAAATGCTTGCAGATGTAAATATTACATAAACGTTATTGAAATGTTCAAATCCTGAGATGCTTTTGAGGTGTTATTACTGTGCATACCTGTTCTCTAAGAAAATTAACTTTGATCTAAAACTAAAGAGTTTCTCACAATAAGATTAATGCTCAAGATACTCTCTCAAAACATAGAAATTTGCATTGAAGTACGACTGAAATGAAAAAGTGCTTGAGGGATTTTTTTCCATAATTGCATACCCCTGCTTTGTTTCCAATTAGTACCTGGGAGACTAAAGTGCACTAATTTTGTTGAGATGGTTTTCAGAGAACAGTTTTACTTCAGGAGTGTTGCTGGAACAGGGGCTAGATAGTGAAGTTTTATCATCAAAACAAAAGCATCACTGTTTTAAAAGTACTTCTTTTCCCTGTCCCTTTCTACGTAGGCAATAATGATAACTGCAGTTACTCATTTTGCATAGCCTGTATTTCTTCTATGCCATTGGTAGCTGTCAATACACAACAACTGTTGCCTTCAGAATGTCTTGTATGACATGTATGTTTGATTGCTGTTATGGAAACTGATTTTCACAGAACATCTTTTAAATAAAGGATTTGTTTTTATAACTTCAGAAGTGTGTCTAGAGATGATTCTATAAAAATAGTTAGGTAAGGTTTCCCTGTGGGATACTTCTGTTCAGGAAGAATTATGCAGCTTTCTTTTCTGCATAAATTCCTCAGTGATGTACAATACTTTTCAGATAGACCAGTGTATAGAGCTGTCATAGCGGAAGTATCTTAATTATCAAGGAAATCTTACTGCCTTACATTAAAAGCTGGCTAAATGTCTGGTCACAAGTAGGAATCCCCCCCTCCCATCCCTAGTACCCTCTAGCTTCATGAATTCGTTGCGTGAAGTCATTCTCAGCAGTTACCTCTTTGGAAACCCATCATGCTTTTGGAGACTGAAATTTAACATAGTGTTTTTCCAATTACATTTCTTGAAATGCTCATGTAGTTGTTGCTATAAAAGGTTACAGCCACTCCAGGAAAAGATTGCTGCTTTGATAACTTTTATATAAGCCTTCACAAAGAAGCTGGTAGTTACATCATGACCAGTGCTGTGCCTGAAGAGTGATTATTTCAGTACATTCAAAATCTCCAGTACAAAGTGATGGTAATATTGCCCTGTCCCTGGTGTCAGCTGTTAAAGAAAAATATCTGTAGATGTCAGACTACTAAGGGTGGGTTTCAGAAAATCTTGAAACCCACAGTACTCTGGGGCCCAGGTCTTAGTAACTTTTGCTGTTTATATAATTTCAACCCAGCACGTCACTGAGAAATTATTTATCTAGAGGAACTGTGGCCAAATTTGGCAAGCGATACTGTCTGCCAGTGTCTGCAGATGTATTGTTTCCTCCTACGTTCACTCATGCTGTCTGTAGTCTCATGAGAGCACTAGTTGATGGAAAAAAAAATGCCAACTATCTATTGTGAACTTTCTAAATCACTTCTGCTTTTTCAGCCCTCCTGCTCACCACTGCACTGATCAGATGCTTGCAGCAGGCACTGCAACCATTAATCACCATGTAAGTTTAATAATCAGAGCAGGAATATTCCTGCTGATGGTGCTTTTACTATTGTTAAGGGTAAATAAAATTCTGCAAGTAACAATTCTAAGCTTAGATTATTTGATAACAAGCTAGAACAAAGCATTGTTATTCTTCCTTCAGATAGCTATTTATTTAAAACGTCAGACATTACCTGGGAGTGGGATAAAACAAAGAAAAATGTTGGAAAACAGCAAGGAAACACTAGAGATGAACAACTAGTTGCCACTGAATTCTCCTTATCTCTCCAATGGTCCTACAGGTAAAAGCCAAGATAAAAGATTTCTTTAAGTTAAATTACTTGACATGTTTATAAAGTGGATGTGAATTTTGTGTCATGATAACTGCAATTAGGATGAACTGCATGCAGAAACAAGAGTGATACAACACATATTCAAGTAGTTGCAAGAAACAGCTGGAGCACTGTTAAGTTCTGGACATTGTGCTATAACAAGGATGTTAATACATTAGAAAGAAACCAAATAAGGCAGCAAAAATAAGCACAGACTTCATTGGATAAAGAAAAACTGATAGGAATAATCCTGAGAACAAAACATTAGGAGCAAATCTAAATACATTTGTGTATCTAGTGTAGGGAAGACAAGCTTATTCCTAGTCCTACGTAAGTCTAAGTGAGGAAATGGTGGCACATTTTAAGCTTACAGTATGTTTCCTTGTTGTAAATGACAATTAGGGAAGGGGAAGTCATCTTACTAGACGTGGTTGAAGAAGCACCTGCAAACCAGCAACAATTTTTTCTGGATAATACTGACAACAAAGTAGAAATGAATTTCCAAATCCTACCGAGATTGTAGTGCTCTCCTTTTTGAGATCAGACTCAATGGCTTTTGAGATAGGACTTAAGTGTTAAAAGGCTTACATAAAGCAAATTGTTATGTGGATAAATAAATAAATCATGCATCAATATTCTATCAGAATATTCAGTATCCTCCTTATTTTATGCATTTGCCATACCTAGAGTTTACACAGTCTTTGCTATTCAAATAGTAAAAGCAATTTAGGACCAATATGCAGCCAAAGCTTCATGTGCAGGTGCAAAAGAATTTTGATGATCTTGAGTGGCCTTTGGAGGCCACTGGGTCTGATGAAAATGTTTCCATAACTGTCCAATATCTAGCCAAGTTCCTAAGCTGAAGAGCTAAACTGCACTTCAAGATAGAACATAAAGAAATTTTCATTCCAGAGAGCCCCTGACGTGGCCAATCTGGTAATCAAGGCATTGTGATTTTGCAAGAATTTTAAAAAATTCACATCAAAGTCAGTGTAGGCTTTGTAATCCGGTCAGGCTACTGTGCAACTTCCTGCTTTAATTACAACTGCCAAACAAAAAGCATTTCCTTTACCAAGATGATTTATTTTCTTAGCAGATTTCTTACTAGTCCTGCTGGTTAGCAAAATACAAAGGAAAAAAGGTAGTTATCAGTGATGAAGAGGCACTTTCTTCTCAACTAGATGGCATGTTTTAAAAAATGTGTTTGTATTTAATACAGCACACCTGAAATTTTCTTGTGTGCTCGGAACAGACCATATAATACAGTGGGATTCAGGCAAGTCAGCTTTCTCCTTTTTCTTTATCATCTTACTTCAAAGAAGCTTTTCCTGAAGGGAAAAAAAAGCACTAAGCACCAAAGCACTTAAGAGAACAAAAGCGTTTAAAATGAAATTAATATTTTCTATGGCTTTGTGGATTCTTATTCTATAACCAAACAATATCATTCTCAGTCGGTAGGCTCATAGCAAAGACTGTTTCCCAAGACATTACTCAATTTTTATGTAACATAGTTGCAATGGGTCCCTTTTTAAATTTTTTATTTTCTATTCAAACTATATGGCCTAAAATTAATTTTACTACTCACGCAGCCACTGCGTGTTCACTTCATCTTGTCCCTTTTCCAGAACACAGTACATGTTCCAGATCAGTGGCAGCGTAAAGGAGGTTCACACTCCTTTCTACTGCTGCATTCCTGGTTGACCAGTTCAAAGGGTGGTAAATATTGAAGTTGGCTGCCTGCATACAGTGGGTGGAAACTGGATGGGCCCTTTGATCAGATGCTCGTGAAGGCGGGTGCATACAGCTTTGTTACTCTGAGCATTCCTGGTGAATGGATGTTTTGAAACAGGGCACAGCATGACTGAACATTCAAAAACCTTTGGTCAGGTACTTAGTTCTGCCTCGCCATGATTCAGCCAGTTCTACTTTCATGTTCTTCTGACTCTGCAAGAATGTTGCCTCTATACAATACACCATTGTATCATGTTCAAAACTAACCACTGAAAGCATTCCTGCTATCCCCAGTTCATTCCATTTCTGGAAAGACTGAAGTTCTCCTGTGGGACTAAGGCAGGGAAGATGGTGCTTTTGTTACATGTCATTTGCTTTCTTGCATAAACTGCCATGGTTTTCAGAGAAGTCAGATTCTAATCTAAGCCTTCATTATGTGTTTGTCGCAAAAATACTAGTGCTTAAGAAGTATTTTCATGAGCATTTTCCTTTATATGGCATAATCATACAATTTATAACAGTTAGTGCATAGGTGGTTTTATTTCTTAATGTGAAGAGCTAAGGATGAAGCCTAGCAATTGTAATACTTGAAAAATATTACCTTTATCTGTGATGAAAGTTTGTATAAGTTGATCTAATTAATGCCCAGAAGGAGGCAGCTTATTGATAAGATCTCTTGTCTTTCTTTTCACCAGCTCTCTCAAAAAAATCCTACTAGAAGATTGGATTCCCTGCACTGTGTTGCTGAGAAGTGTTGGTCTTCAGTGATTCTTTCATGATTTTGTATGTTGCTGTGCATTAAATGCAAGCACACAATCACTTCCATTTCCAGTCATCCTGTGGGCCTTCTTTCAAGTCCTGCCTCTGTTCTACTACCCTTCGGCTTGTTTTGGAGATTTCAGTCTTCCTCATCAAAACACTTGACTTGGACAGGTAAGATATTCTAGAATTCTCACTACTATTGCATTTTTCTACTCTGTATTCTTATTACATCTGATCTTGAATATCAGTTTTAAACATGGGA